AATAAACTAGGGGATATGGCTAACATGATGGTAAATTAGGAGGATTTTATTGGGCTTCTTAGAAAGTAGTTTGTCTCTATATCTACTCAATAATAGATGCAGGACAAATCATTAAGTTGATGCAAGGAGAGAAGACAATAATGCAATATGAAGTTAAACTCACTAAATTGTCGATATATGCTCCACGGCTAATAGCTACTGCATAAGAGAAGAGTTACATGTTTCTTTTTTTATTTGAAGGATTCGATCAGGCATCTGTTGGTGTCTTTGGGAATTAATGATTACTCAGTGTTAATGGAGCGGTTTAGACGAGTAAAGATTGAGTATCAGCTTACTCAAAAGCATAAGAAGATACACAAGAAGAGCATGGTCGAAGGAGAGCATGTAGTTTAACCAGAGGGATCCAATGAGAAGAGTCCCAAGTCCAATTCAGGTGGATTTTATTGTGGCACAACTCGGAGTACTATAGTCACCTATGCTAATGTGGAAGACATCATAAGAGTAAAGTTTGATGGGCTCCAACACATGCTACCGGTGTCGTTAACCTGGTCACATAGCTAGATACTTCCCTACATTTGGCCATATGACATTTGAAGAACGTAAACCAAGTCGGTCTTCTTTACAGAAGATTGCATGTAGGTAAAGCAGGATATAGCCTACAACTTCCTCTTCTACTCAATTTCAACCAAGACAACTAGTTTGATCTTGAAGTCATGCCCTAAGCAAAATCTACTGTCGTTGATTTTGATGATTTTGATTCTTATATGGAATGATTTGTGTTTTTTTTTTTTTTCTTATATGTGTCATTTTAGTTATCATTTGTCAAATATTTCTCTAATTATGTATTTTTGTTGTGTATTTTTAATTTTTACTGGAGATGTGATGTTATCTTTGTTATGTTATCTTGTTTTAGTTGATGGAGGTAGTTTAGTTAAGTCGTTTTATTTCATATCTTTGTTTTACTGCGTCCGTGTTTCAATCTTTGTGAATGAGATCTAGACTTCTTTATGAAAATTTATGGATAGTTCATTTGGATAATAGTCTCTTTCTGGAAGAATGATGATAATATGTAATTAAAATAATCATAGGCGTCATAATTCGAAACAATTTACTGTTAGAATTGAATTTATTCTTTATCAGCATAATGAATATAGAGAGAGTATTGCTAACATTGCATTTTTGTTTAACTAAATATATCAATATCATTTCAATCAGTAGTTCTAGAGATATTAAGGATTTTAGAGGATTCCAAAAATATTAAAATGAATCAATACAAAAAGATTTGAGGATCTAGAGTTACTTTCAAGAAGTGTTATGATGATGTTTAATAATTTTATAGGTTTCACAACGAAAATCTTTGATATTTTAATTTAAGATAAGAGGGGAATATTGAATATTTTTAGTGTGGTGCCCTAATCTATAAAGGTGTCCAAATGTAGATGGTGTGAGAAGTTGAGCGTGACAATTGATCTCAGTAAATAAGAGCATATCCTTTTTTTTTAGCTTACTCAATTGTCTTCCCCGCGGTAATCCAAAAAAACACAATGATCAATAAAGAATTTGACTTTTTTTATATGATCTTTGATAAATTTATGACAGATAAAATTTTAACTATAATTTGGCATGTAATGCATTATTGAGAGTTAAGCTGGAGAACTTGAGATGACTTTCAGTCATATAATAGTTGCTAAAGATTCATTTGCATTTTTTTTTATTACTAATGGATTAGAGTTTATAAATTTGAAAATGTAGGCTAGATTAATCATGTGTTTGTGGCCTTTGAAGCTAGAATCTAGAAAGCGGATTAGATTAATTATTAGAGACACTAATAGTATTAGAATTAAAAATTTGATCATTCGGAGCAATAAAGCAAGACATTTATGGCTTTTCTGAGGAACTATGACAGTTATTTTAATTTCTTAATTTCTTTTGAATTGAGCTCTTTTGATTATTAGGCAAGTCCAACCTTTTTTTTAATCTATCTTTATTTCCTCTATAGCCTTGAAGATTCATGAAATTTTCAGCATTTATTTTTGGTGTGCATTTTCTTTATGTAGTAGGTGACTAGAAATTTTCGCTGGGAAAAAAATTTGGCTCTTAGAAGATTCTATGTTAGAAAGTTTCTTATTTTAGGATTTAGAAGTTGTCATAGTAGATATTTTGAGAGTCCTTTGATCATCGTAATCCTTTTTTTTTTCTAGCTCATACGAGTAAGAGTACTTCTTTTACAAAAGGGAGATTTTTTAGTCAAATTCATCATTGAGTCCTGCTAAAAACTCAATGATTTTCTTTTGCTCGACAAATTATTTAAGGATCACCGCGTTATCTTGACATAACATATTGAAATCTTAGCAGTAGTATAATTTCAACTAGTAAATTTTCATGAAATTAAAGCATTCAATGACAGAAAATATCTTATTTAGTAGTAATGAGATATGTTTTATTTTGTAGATGAGTGAAAATTTTTAATTTTTTTATTAGGTTTGTTTACTACATCCCAACTTTCTTTGACATTGGAGAGGGACATAAAAGGCTCACTGATCTCCATCTTCGATTGCATGGTGTGTTGTTATAATGAATTCAGTTTCTTTCGGAAGTATAAATTTTTTGTTTTTAGGTTCTTGAAGTATATTCACTAGGTGTTGGATCTTTTTCTTTTCTTTCAAAAAAGTTCTTCATGATTTGGGTCCAATTAAGTTATTTTTTTTCGTTCAAGTGTATGATGCTTGAAATTATTTGGGTTCTTTCTTGGTCCGATTTGCACCATTAATCATGATCAACTCCTTTGGAGGGAAAAAGATAGAAAATCAGACAATTAGAAAGAGAATATGACCAAAAAAAATGAGGTTAAAAGTGGAAATCCTAGTCATAGAGAAAAAGAAATGTTGAAAAGCAAACATTGACCTTGGTATGATATCATATAATAAAACAATAGAGAAACTCAATTTTATTTATTTATTTATTTTATTTTATTGCACAAGATGTGAAGTTTATATACATGTTTAGAGGCATTACAAAGTAAGGAATAAATCTAAAAAAGGGGGGCAGGGGAATATAATGAGGCAGGTGATCTTATAAAGAAAACATGGATTACTATGTGAAGGCCATAGAGAAATTGATGTGATGGAACAACAGCCTGCCTTAAATTCTTTGCTAGGATTGGAGAGTGAATGGGCCCCCACTATATAAGAGAGAGAGAGCAACTTCCATTGTAGTTATGCTTGACAATGATTTGATATCTTCATTTTTAAAAAAATTTGTAGGTTCTGTTTAGTTTTTACTGCTTTGGGTTCCATAGTGTCATATACTACTGCCGTAAGTTAGCTCAGGATGTTTTTCAGCTTTTTTTTCCTTTTTTTTTTCGGTTATGTTGCATAATATTTTCTAATTTTGTAAGAAAAAAAAAAGGTTTCTACGATTTTTTGTGAAAGCGGTTTTACAAATTTACCTATCTTATATTAAGTCAAGTTTGAATGCATTTGGTTTATATATATACAATTTTGCTGACATAATTAAGATTATAATTGAATGTAAGCTTTTCACAATTATGCAGATAGATGGAATGAAATAGTAAATTATATTTGCCAGTATAGGAAGATATTAATATAGGGATGATGACCATTGAAGTGGTTTACAATTATTTGATTGTTCCTCTTGATTTCGTACACATTCCTTCATTTATAATAGCAGAGTTCTTTAGCGAATATGATTGTAAAAGAAAAAAAGCTTTCGCCTTCAACATGCTGGGAGAGTTTTTTTTATTTTATTTTAATGTAGTCTTCATCATTTATTGACATATTTATCAAGCTAGTGGTACCAATCATCCTCTATGTTCTCGGGGTTTTCATTTTCTCATGGAACCTCATGAGATGATCAATCTCGACTCTCCATCTCCCTTAGGGACAATGGTATTTTATTACCTAAAATAAATGGCTTTTGACTATACTATTCTCAAGTGGATGCTCGATAGTCTTGAGCCCACTATTGCTTCGATTATCACATTTCATGAGACTGCTAAAAGGATGTAAACTTTTATATATTTCTCCTATTTTCAGGACAACATTTATTAGATATACGCTATATTTTCTTAGCTTATTCTCTTTGATCAAGATATCAAATTTATTATAATTACTATAGCATCTTGAAAGGATAATATGGTGAACTTTTTCAGTATTGCCCTTTTATCAATGATTCAACTTCTTCTTTTTGCAAACATAATTAGGAGTTCTCGTTGCCAAGTTCCTCCCCAAGCTTCATTCATCCCTGCAATCTATTTAAACTAAATTGATGGCATCTTTTACTGTCTCCAATATCTCCAATGCTCTCTCTGGTTTTTAAATTAATTGAGTTATCTGAAAAGCCAAAGGTGGTTTTGATGATTTGAAAATTTTTTTGGTGGACCATTTTTCAAAAAAGACATGCTAAGAGTAATTATCATGGAAAAAATTTTTTTAAGAAACATGTATATTAAAAAAATATACAAAATATTGTAATAATTTTTTGGGGGGATTTTTTTTTAAAGTGCAAGTATTGTTTTGAACCTTTGAGCTTTGAATAGTCTTAAACACGATCAATGTGCCATACGAATGGAGAATGTAAGAAACAGAGTGCATCAGTTTGAAGGTTTTACATTCAATAGTAGATGTCTAAAAACCTGCATTAAGCTTAAATAAATTATTAGACATTTTCAATATATGTTTCTTAGAATTAAATTTGAATTTATCAGTTATTTGGGTTCATGTTGTCAACAATAAATTTTATCAATTTGATATATATGCTTCAGTTTGATTGAAGGAGAGTATTAACGTTGGAAAATATATTAAATGTTAGGAAAGAGTTTCGTGTTCAGTGAGTGGTATGCAATTATTTGATCATTCGTATTCATTCCTCTTTATAAATTGAAGGGTCATGCAAGTTAATAAGATAGCTTTTCTCTAGCAAAATTTAAATTTCATTGTTCTTGTACTTATTACTTGTGCTTTTATTGTCTGCTCGTGCAGATTTTCTATTATGCGCCAAAAATGGTGGAGAGTTGGAAAGGGCTGAAACTTCTATCAAGAGCAGAATTTCATGCCGGAGCCCACGTGACAAAGTTCTTGAGATTGCAGATGTTGCCTACGTCTGATCGCACAAGTGCAACACTTGGATCTGATAAAACCAACAGATTTGCTCTACTGTTTAGCACACTTGATGGGAGTATTGGTTGTGTTGCCCCGCTGGATGAGCTTACCTTCCGCAGACTTCAAACCCTTCAGAGGAAATTGGTAGATTCTGTTCCTCATGTATGTGGCTTGAACCCTAGATCATTTAGACAGTTCCGATCAAATGGGAAGGCACATCACCCAGGTCCTGATAATATAGTGGATTTTGAGCTGCTTTCCCAGTAAGTCTTCTTTCCATTTTTTTATGCATGTGGAAATATCTGTAGTAATCTTCAGCTTTCTTGTGCAAGTTCACAACTCTGTCAATCTTAATGATTTATATGTTGAATTTCGATAGTTTGACACTGTTGTGAATTTTTTTATTCTCTCTAGTTATTTGATATTCATTTATCTAAGATCTCAGTAATTGCATTCAAGCTTAATTACCCTTTTTTTCGGAAAGGTTGGATTGTCTTCTTTTAGTATGGCACGATTTCCATTCTTAGAAATCATGAATTATAATGCTGAAAAGAATTCAAACTTTATTTTTTTTTTTTTTTTTATTTATACCATCCAAATCTTTCATATCACATCAAAAATATCACCATTTTAACTAAAACAAAAAATACCTCTTTTGGATAGGGACGGTGGTATGTATGTAAAAAGCAATGTTTACTTAAGTAGATAAGAATTAAGAGTTATGTTCGTAAATCTTCTAACTTGTTTTGTGATGTATATGAAGGTACGAAATGTTACCGTTGGAGGAACAGTTGGAGGTTGCTAATCAAATTGGAACCACGCGAGCTCAAATACTCACCAACTTGAACGATTACTGTGTTAGTACAAGCTTCCTGTGAAGATTGGATTATAGTATGCGCGAGAGTTGGCGGCATCTCTTCCAGTTATTTAAAAGTATGATGTACCGCCTGAAGTGTTAATTTCCGCCGGCACATTAAGCACCAATTTTCGTTGAAGGATTACGCTGTGCAATCTTTGAATGTGATCCATGAGCTTTGTAAGTCAAATGTATTAAATTATTTTTTAAGTAGGAAGCCCTGGCTGGCTGTTTTTTCTCAAGCCATTTTTAAGGCTTTTAAGTGTTATATTTCATCTTTTTCTTTTACGATATTATATATCAAGCAGGGGATGTTTTGAAATATTTTGCGCTCATGGTTAAGTTATGAGTAATAGAAAACTTGAACATATTACATTTCTACTACATGAGTGTCAGTGTCTTCTTAGCTAAATGCTGTCCAATTTATGAAAATGGTTGATAAAAAATGACTAACATGAGCTATTCATAAATATGAAATCCATTTGAAAGTCGTTTTATAAGTTATAAATACAGTCATGTAAAATATATGCTTCTATTTATCCATATAAATCTACTTGTATCAATATGGATATACATGATATTTTTTTGTCTGATCATGTTAGTATTATGCTCTTAGAATAGATAAACTTCGAAAGTATAGTGAATATAAGCTAATTATATTTGAATTTGATCGAACAAAAACCAAATCTTTTAGCTTTATTCTCTTATTCTGCCTAAAGACTAGGCCTATTCCTGTACTCTTTAAGGATTTAACCGTTAACAACATTAGTTTAAAAAGATTAGCTTTACGGGGATTATGAATTATCATGTAACCCTTAGTTTTATCACTATTTTTTCCTTCGTTCAGTAGGATCTACTTTATATATATATATATATATATAAGAAATTTCAAATAGTTGGGCTTAGCAATTTCTCTACAACTCCGTATTTGATGGAAATGGAGCGTTGTTCAAGCTTCAGAATCAAACATAAGAGGACCCTATTCTTTCTCGCTAGTCATGTAATTGCATCTTTCCAGAAAGGAGAGCCGGGTGAGCTTTAATAATCTGGCAGCTGGTCAAGTACTTTTTCATCATTAGGTAGCTAGTACTTGTCATGACCATGGTCTTAGGCTTTCTTTATTGATGGCTTCAATTGAACTTAGATCAAAAGTCATCATTATTTTCTTGGGCTGGTATTCAGATTTTGTTGGGGGCATTTACAGACACGGCACACAAAATATTACTATTTACAAAACAGCCAACCCCCTTGCATCATTTTTTTTTCAAATTCCCACACAAATATCAAATTTCACAATACAACTCCTAACTGATATTTTTCATTTCTATCAGGCATCATGTCATAGATTTAAATATTACAATTTTTGAACTTTTGAACAAATTTAATTGCAAATTTACATGTATTGTAAATGCCGAACCTTGAACTCAAGACCTCTTAGTTGAAAGTCTAAAATTGCAACTAATAACCTAAAATAATCATAATATTTGAACATTTGGTCAAAATTTGAGACATTCACATTCATAAATTTTAAGCAAAAATTTTACTAAGAGTTTAGGAGTCCTTAGAATTATATTGAAATTCTATCACTATAGTCCTTTGAATCCAATTATAAAATCATTTTTTTATTTTAGATTCTTCATGTATTTCTTTTAAATATTATTTAATAAAACATTAACTGATTACGGTCAAAACAAATTAATCCCAAAAATATGTGAAATTATTAAAACTGAAAATTAAAATTATGAGAAATTAAAAAAATAAATTGATTTATGTGTTATTATTATTCTTATTTTGTAATTTTTTAGATTTAATTAGTTTTAAATTAAGTATAATTTGTAGGGTATATAGTGGTGGTGATTTGGGAGGTAATTGTGCAAATTCAAATTAATTTATGAGGAAAAGATGAAATTTAAAATATCATATATATATA